TAAAATTCCTCTGTGTTAATAGAAAGTTTACATGAAATACAATTTTTGTCCAAAATTGATGTTTAATTCGAAATAAAGACCTAATATTACGTAAGTTTTATACAAATAAAAAACGTAAAATATCTTAAATAATTTTTTTGAATAAAATAAATAAATAAATAATTGATCAATCATTTATTTTTATAATTTTTATAAAAATCAGATAACAATTTGTCTCCAAAAACTATAAAATGAAATATTAATAAATTATTTATTTATTTAATGCAAAAAAATTATTTAAGATATTTTCGCTTTTTATTTGTATAAAACTTGCTTAATTTAGGTATTTATTTAGAACTAAATATCAGTTTGGACAAGAAAAGTATTTCGTGCAAATTTTACATTAACACAATGGGGTTTCACACAATAAATAAAATATAAAATGAATTGTGTATTTTTACTAAAATATAAGAGGTGTTATATAATTTGCCCTATAAATATATATTAATAAAATTGGAAACTCAATGTAATGTGATTATTTTTTTTTTTTTGATGAATTTTTAATATTTTATTCTTACATTTTATTTTTAAGTAGCTGTATAAATTAAACATAGGATGATAATAAAGAAATGATTATAAGAATTTTATAATTCCAAATTAAAATAATAACAAAAAATAAAAAAAAAATAAAATCAATCTATAGTATAACAAACAAGATTTGAAGGTGTCATATTTCTTATATTAGATGAAATGGTACATAAAATTCCTATAATTATACACAAAATAATAATTGTCGAATGTAGTAATTTGTATAAAAATAAAGTGTTTCGGTGTGATATTTTTGGAAAAAAAAATATATTTTGATTTAAAATTGATTTATAACATGATGTCGATTTGAGTTTTTCATTAAATTGTATTTTGAGTATTTTATTTAAAAATATTTATATTAAAATTCATACATGATAAATATTCCCTCCGTCCCATAAATATAGTTATAATTGAGTTGAACACAGTATTTAAGAAATATTAATATTATATTGGTAGTTGTAAAAAGTACAGATAAAAGATTTTTTTGCCCTTGTTAGTGTATTAGTGTAAAAAGTAGTGACAATTGTGTAATAAAAATGAAAAAGTAAAAGTAATTTTATGGTGATATAGTTATTTATAAAAATAAAACTATTGTGCTTTTTTAAAAATATATATATATACGAAATACAAATCAACTAGAAAAAATGTATTATAATATAAAAATATATAGTATATATTTTTTTATTTGTATATAAAGTATCATATCCAAAATCTATTTCATGTAAAAAATATATATATATATATATATATAATGAAAACACTTTAAAAATAAGTAAAAACAAAAACAAATAATGGCCAATAATTGCTACATAGTGATAGTAGTATTAATTAATTTAGTAACATTGAATTATTAATACATAATCATCATTTGAATAGGAAAAAGGAAAAGTTTGTAATGATTTATGTGAGAACAAATTTCAATAAATATGCCCACTAACAACAAAGACAAACCAAACCCACTTTTTATTTCATTTTTTTAAATATATATATATATATAGAAAAAAAAATATATAATTTATTTGCCTATATAATAAAGCCTATGATTTCAAATTTGATTGATGTTTGTTCTTGGCTATACAAGATTTATGTCATGTGATACTAAGCCAATAATGTCACATTTGGTATTTAATTAGGAATTTATTTCAATAAAGTTGTAATCATTAAAAATATATCATTAATTTAGAGGGAGAAATAAAAATAATAAAAACAAACCCTTGCATTTACATAAATGATTTCCTAAATATTATTAAAAAAAAAAAAACATAATATACATAAATTAAAACAATATATAATATATATTTTATTCAATTACAAAAAGTTAACAATTTAATACAAAAATATAATTTTTTATATTAACAACATAAATTTTTATATCTAACATAAAAATATATCTATAAAAAATACAGAGTTAACAAACTCATATAATGATTAAATGTGAATTAAAAAACCACAATATTTGAATTACATTTTATATCATTTTATTTTGGAAATTCTACTTCATTCTTTGAGATTTTTTTTTTTCAATTTTATTAATTATTATGTAATCTTAACAAATTTTTATAAAAATATTATTTTTATTATAAAATAAATACAAACCAAACACAAATTTTCCTTAGTTAAAACATAGTGAATCAAACACAACTCAATATGTAAAATTATTAATTAAATTTTACTAACAAGTTATTAATAAATTATCAATAGTTTAATAATAATAATAATAATAATAATAATACTCCATCTGTTCCAAAGTATAGTTTGAGTTGTGTTTGACACGTGGGTAAAAAGTACGAGTAAAAGACTTTTTTACCCTTGTGAGTGTATTAGTGTAAAAAATAGTGTCAATTGTGTAATAATAATGAAAAAGTAACAGTAATTTTATAGTAATATAGTTATTTATGGAAATGAGCAGGGCGGCTCACAGCTATGAGCGACTGCTCAGGGCCTTTAATTAATAGAGGACCTCTATTTTAAATAGTTTTATTATTATTATTATTAAATTTTAACTTTTTAACTTATATTTTTATTTCTTCTTCGTAATTATTCTATTTAATTTTAAAATTAAATTTCAATTTCTAATCATATATAAAAAAAGATTATTTCTTTCTAATCGTCTACATTTCTTTACTTTACACCATATCGCATTGCCCCCAGCAACTCGATCAAAACTGCCTCACATTTTTTCTTATATCTTTCACCCTCCTTCGAATTTTCAAACAAACCGTCTTTCATCTTCTTTTCTCAAATTGACATTGTCCAGACGGTCACGTTCAACCTCTTGTTTAATCAACGTCAATCAGTAATATTATTAAAAATAAATTTTAATCATGTATTTGTAGGGCCTATAATTTATTTTCGTTCAGGGCCTAAAAAAAATCCGAGACAGCCCTGAAAATAAAACAATTATTTTAAAACAAACAAAAATAATAAATATAATTATTGTATTAAGACGAAGAGTATAAGAATGGTCCCATATGTACCAAATGTCCTAACCAAAAGGGAAAGTCATCCTTGCAATTATGCCAATATATCATTCACCATTTTTGTAGAATATAATATATAATATATATATATATGTTTATTTATTTAAATATATATTAAGAAAATTCCACATAGCATTAAATATAGTTTATGAAATATATTTAAAAATTTAAACTTTAATAAAAAATTGTACTCAATTAAATAGTCCCATAAAATGAGGACAAAAGTAAAAAGTGACCATCCCTAATCAAATCCCTTTTTTTTTTTGCACTTTTACTTTATAATTAGTATTATTATCATTATTTTCCCACTCCTGTTTTTTTTGTTAAATATTTATTTATTATATAAATAATAATTTGGATGTAATCATTTTTGAGATATAAATATTACTCTATCCGTCCATAAATATAATTTTAATTGGGTTGAATACGAAATTTAAAGAATATTGATATTATATTAGGAGTTGGTAAAAAGTATGGATAAAAGACTTTTTTGTCCTTGTGAGTATATTAGTGTAAAAAATAGTAACAATTGTATAATAAAAATAAAAAAATAGGATAGTTTTATGGTGATACGATTATTTATGTAAATAAGACTATTGTTTTGGAACGGACGAAAACGATAAACAAAATTATTATATTGGAACGGATGGAGTACATTTTTATAAAAAAAAATCGGAATAATGTAATGGTAAACAAATTGAAACTAAACTTAAAAGAACAAAAATGTGTTTGATCTATGTTTGGTTTAATATGATAATTTGTGATAAAAATAATTTATTTTTACAGATAAGATTAAAGTTATACTCCCTTCGTCAGGCTTGGTTCAATTTACATTTTGCATAATTCTATTTAATATTATAAATATTATTATATTTGTATAATATTTTTTTTGTACAAATGTCATTATAATATTATTATAAGATACTAATAAAAATATTTTTGTTATTTTTTTTAATTTATATTATAATTTTATATAATAATTAATATTCAAAGATCAACACATAAAAGTAAATAAAATTTTTAAATTTTATTTTTTTATAATATTAATCATGAAGCGCAATCAAAAAATTGTTGGTGAAATACAAACTGAATATTTTATAAGAAAAAAAATATGCTCATTTCATCGGGTAAAAGCAATCCATTAAGATAAGCATGGAGTAAAAGAAATTAAATATTTTATTAAAATGTAAAAAAAAAATGATTGGAGAATATTTTAAAAATATTTAGTTAATAATTACAGAACATAAAAAAAATAAAATTATGTAATAAAACTAATAACACTTGTAATAAATAACTATTTAATGGATAGTAAATATTAATTATTTTTATTTTATTAATAAAAAATTAAATAAAATTGAGAAAAGAGTATATTTTTTATTTTTACGTAAATCTTCTACTCCTATTTGATTTTAATTCAATTAAATTTTTTAATAAAAATTTATTATTCTCTTCGTCCCAATACTATAATCTTATTTACTATTTTTATCGGTCTCAAAATAATAATCTTATTTTCATAAATAACCATATAACTATATAACTATCCTTACTCTTTCATTATTATTACACAATTGCCACTATCTTTTACACTAATATACTCACAAGATTGTGAGCAAAAATATCTTTTACATATACTTTTTATCCACTATTAATATAATATTAATATTTCTTAAATCTCGTGCTTACCGTAACTAACACTATAGTTCCGAAACGAAAGGGAAATTTTACTTTAGAAAATATTACTTTCAAATTAGCTTGTTCAAACTACCAATTAAATTAAAAATCAAAACATTATTATTATTATTATTAAAAAAATTTCTAATAAATTATACAGTAAAAATGAAAATAAATAAACAGACAAAGCAACTCTTTAAACACAGACCTCCGTTCGTCAACACCAACCACCCAACCAACAGGGCCCTCCCTCCCCCCACCCCACTCCACGCGCCACCCCACGCGCGCCATCATTGGCCACTCAAACCACCCCCAAAATTCTCGACTGTCACTCATTATATACTCACACTCGCCATCAATGGCTGCCGCTCCCATGCGCATCCCCCCACCCAATTTGGGGCTTCCCCATTCTCCAGTTTGAACGCTAAGAAAAACAGTTCCAGAAGCCAACAAATTTCAATTTCCGCAAAAGAAGAACAGATTCAAAGTCAAAATTCGATTCCAAGTCGCACTCCGAGTCCGCCCGCTTTCTAGGTTTTATACCGTGTAGAACAAGTTCGTGGAATTCTCGCCAATTGAGAGGTGCTTCTGGAATTCTTTTTTAATTAATTTCTGCTGATTTTGTTTTTACTCCGTTGATTCCGCTTCAAATTCGGCGAGCTTCATTAATTTGGAGGCTGTCCCCGCAATCGGTGCTGAAAAGGATTGGATTCGAATGTTTTCGTTTCGATATGAGAATTGATTGATATATATATGAGAGGGAGATCGAGTTTGGTGATGATTTAGGGTTTCGGATTTGATCTTGGGGGTGAAATGTGGGGGTATTATGATCTGAGATTGGTTTGAGCTTCAGCTAGTTCTGTTGCCGGTTTAAATGGCGATGGGGATGTCGGCGGCGGCGGCGGGGGAGCGGTGGTGAGGCGGTGGGGATGGGGTGCGTCTCGTCTAAGCAGACGGTGTCCGTGACGCCGGCGGCGCTGGATAATTCCGGCGCACTGAATGGCGGATCGGGGAGGAGTAGGGTTGGGAGCTTCGGCGGGGGCGGCGCCGCCGGGTTGGTGGCGGAGCTGGAGCTGAACATGAAGAAGGTGAAGAAGAGAGGGGCAACTGAGTCGGGCAGCGAGTTGGGCGAGTCGGGCAGGACGAGTGAGTCGGTGAGTTTCCGGCTCGGGAATCTGCACAAGTACGTGGAAGGGGAGCAGGTCGCCGCCGGCTGGCCGGCGTGGCTGAGCGCCGTCGCCGGCGAAGCCATTCAGGGATGGGTCCCACTTAAGGCCGATAATTTTGAAAAACTCGAAAAGGTTTAGTTTAATCAATATTCCTTTTACTTTATAAAGCATATATATATATAAAGGCAAATTATTACTATCTCAACCGTTAAAAAAAATTTATTATTTTAGTTAAGTATTATAATTATAAAATTGAGAAATTATATTTTGGAACAGACAAAAATAGAAAATAATATTATTTTAATATTTTTAAAATATGATTATATATTTTAATTACAGTTTAAAATTTATAATTAATATATATTTTTAATTTTAATTAAATTATTTAGTTATTTTAATTTTAATTTATAATTTATAATTATTTTATTATATAATAATTATTTTTATTAATATAATTTGTAATTATTTATTAATTATCCTTTAATTAAATTTTCATATTTATATTAATATGGTAATTATCCAAGACAGATAGAGTATTTAACACAATGAAAAGTTAAAAAGGTTTTAAAAAGAATATTATATAAACAAGATGATATTGGTATGGAAAATTGATCCTATTATTTATTTATTTCATATTTTTAAAAATATTACCATTAATCTTTGAAACATTTAAATTTAATGAATTCTTGGATATTTTTGTCGCATTTTGGAGAATTTTATACAATATTTTACATTTTAAATACGATTGTGTAATTTCTAAATTCACCTAAGGTTGAGTGTAAATGTGTTTTTTTAGTATTTATAATTTTAAATATTTATATTATGAAATACGAAGAATTGTGAAAGTATTATAAAAAATTTATACCTGCAGATTGGCCAAGGGACGTATAGTACCGTATTCAAAGCGCGGGAATTCGAAACCGGAAAAATAGTTGCTTTAAAGAAGGTTCGATTCGACAATTTCGAGCCGGAGAGTGTTCGTTTCATGGCTCGGGAGATCATGATCCTTCGCCGTCTCGATCATCCGAATATCATAAAATTAGAAGGATTAATCACATCTCGATCATCATGCAACATTTATCTCGTTTTCGAGTATATGGAGCATGATATATCGGGACTCCTAGCTTCGCCGGGCATCACTTTCACCGAATCTCAGGTATCGATTATACTTTTTTGTCGATAAAGAGTTATTTTTAGAATATGACGCTTTATAATACATGCTCGTCGTTTTAAAATTTATTATAATTTTAGTGTTCGTGATTTCAATGTTCTGATTTGATGTTCTCACTGAAAATTTGATATTACATATGTCGTTTTTAGAAGAAATGGTAGATTGAATAATTTAGACTTGAAAACGAAACGCAATTAAACATATCTGATATTTTGTTCGATTTTTTTGATTCGAGATATGATTGTGTCGATTTTAACCTCGGTTGACCCTCGGTTGTCGAAAGAGTTCTTTAATATTGTGACAATCTTGTGTTTAAGGTCGATTAATGTTCTGATTTGATATTTTGAATGAAAAATTGATATTAGATATGTCGTTTTAAGAAGAAATGATATATTGAATAACGTAAATGCAATTAAACAAATCCGATATTTTGTTCGATATTTTTTATTCAAGATATGATTGTGTCGACTTTGACCTTGCTTGACCCTCGATTGTCGAAAGAGTTCTTTAATATTGCGACAATCTTGTGTTTAAGGTCGATTAATGTTCTGATTTGATATTTTGAATGAAAAATTGATATTAGATATGTCGTTTTAAGAAGAAATGATATATTGAATAACGTAAATGCAATTAAACAAATCCGATATTTTGTTCGATATTTTTTATTCAAGATATGATTGTGTCGACTTTGACCTTGCTTGACCCTCGATTGTCGAAAGAGTTCTTTAATATTGCGACAATCTTGTGTTTAAGTCGTCTAATGTTCTGATTTGATATTTTGAATGAAAAATTGATATTAGATATGTCGTTTTAAGAAGAAATGATATATTTAATAACGTAAATGTGTAAACAAAATGTAATTAAGCATATCCGATATTTTGTTCGATTTTTTTTAGTCGAGATATGATTGTGTTGATTTTAACCTTGCTCGACCCTCGATTGTCCAAAGAGATCTTTAATATTGCGACAATCTTGTGTTTGTGTTCGATCGAACTTTTATACGACAGGTGAAATGCTACGTGAAGCAATTGCTATCCGGGCTCGAGCATTGTCACGCTCGAGGCGTGATGCATCGCGACGTCAAAGGCGCGAATCTATTAGTCGACAACGAAGGAGTTTTGAAGGTCGCCGATTTCGGATTGGCGAACTTTTGCACGTACGGGCAAAGGCAACCCTTGACGAGTCGAGTAGTCACTTTGTGGTATCGACCGCCGGAGCTTCTATTAGGATCGACCGATTACGGGGCGTCTGTCGATCTTTGGAGCGTCGGATGCTTAGTCGCCGAGCTCATGATCGGAAAACCCATCCTTCAAGGAAGAACTGAGGTAAGTTTCGTTCGATTATATTCTTACGACGGGTAGAATAATCTCGATAATATTCGATCGTCGTTGACAGGTCGAGCAGCTCCACAAAATCTTCAAGCTCTGCGGATCGCCGCCCGACGACTACTGGAAAAAATCGAAACTTCCCCACGCGACGTTGTTCAAGCCGCAGAATCCGTACAAGAGCACCCTTTGGGAAAGCTTCAACGATCTACCGGAGCCGGCCGTCGCTCTTATAGAAATGCTTCTTTCCGTTGAGCCGTACCGGAGGGGCACCGCGAGCTCGGCTCTGACGTCGGAGGTAATAATCGATCGAATTACGACACGTTGTATTGTTCTAATTATATCGGTTTGATGAGGATTCGGATGATTTTTTTTTTTTCGACGATAGTATTTCAAGACGAAGCCGTTCCCTTGCGACCCGTCGACGTTGCCAAAGTACCCGCCGAGTAAGGAGATCGATATTAAGCATCACGAAGAAGCCGCTAGGTAATTCTTGTTTTTCGTAGTCTCGGGAGCTCGTCGAATCTCGGAAATTAATCGAGCGAACTATTTTATTTTCCTAGAAAAAAACTCAGCGGAAGACCTCGCGGCGGCCCGGAGACGAGGAAGCCGGCGAAGAAACAAAACGGGATCCATAAACTAGCCCCCGAAGAGGTAGGCTGTATTTGTTTTGTGAAATTGTTAGGAATGAAATTTTTTTTTTATGTGAAGTACAGAGAATTGTGTAGAAAATATAAAAATAATAAATACGTGTAGTGTATTGATTTTTTTGAAAAAACGTATAAGAAAAATATAGATAGAACACACCCGTAGTTTCGTCGTGTAAGCTAATTTACTTGTCGACGTTTTGGTTCTTGAAAATTTAATTTGTTTCGATTATACAGAACTTGCCGGCGCAAACGCAAAAAATGGACAGGCTCGGAATGGGCGATCGTAAACAATTGAGTCGGGAGTGTTCGAAGCCGCCGATTGGTAGCATAAAAGAGGTTGCCCATTCGAAAAATGCGTCTCAAGGCGACGATACTTACGCCGGCCCTCTACAAGTTTCGGGATCGAGTGGTTTCGCTTGGGCGAAAAGGAGGACGATCGAGTCATCATTGAGATCGCGGAGCCGGTCGAGTTCTCGAAGCCTAATCATCGAATCTTCGGGTCCTCTTCATTCAACGAGCAATGCGGATTCGAACGGCGGAGAAAACGACGAGGTCGTAAATGGGTCGAAAGGACTCGATTCGTACGAAGCCGTCAAGCGATCGATGCTCAAGCAATGGAGCCAATTGGAGCGACCCGACTCGTTCGACAATTCCGACGGGTACCACTCGCAAGAACTCTCCGCGGCGCTCTACCGTAAAGAGGAAGTCGCAGCAAAGAGGATCAACGCGGTAGTTCTTATACTTTTTCGAAAAAATTCCGCCGTATTGAATTTTCGTCGATTTTATATGGTTTTTCAAGTTTTCGAAACATGCTCGTCTCGCTCTTTACGGTTATATACGATCGCTTCAAAATAGGTTTACAACCATCAAGGGGAGAAGGTCGAGTTTTCGGGACCTTTGCTTACTCAATCGCAAAGAATCGACGAGCTTTTGGAAAAGCACGAGCGCCACATTCGCCAGGCCGTTCGAAGGTCGTGGTTCCAACGAGGTACGCTTTCTCTCATCGTGTTCGAATGAACGAAACTCGGAAATAATTAGCGCTCGATTTTATTCACACTTGGAACTGTTAAACGAGTCGAGTGAATTCGAGTATTTGTTGTTCGAGCTCGACTCGAACATGCTATCGGGACAGACTCGACTCGGCTTATTTATAATTCGAGCTAAAATGTTAACTCGAGCTCGGGTTATTTTAAGATTTGAGCTAAAATGGTGGCTCGAGATCTGCTCGTTAGACTCAATTTCAAACTCGGCTCGAGTTCGACTCGAATCTTATAAATATTAGATATATTTTAATATATAAATTGAATAAATATAATTTTAGTTACTTTTTATTATATAGAATACTTAAATTTTATTAATAAATGTAAGTTTTGATATAAAAAACTTAAAGTTATATTACCTCCGTCTTATTTACTGTGTCTATCTTTTCATTTTCGTCCGCTCCACTTATCCTTGTTTAGAAAAGAATTATATACTTTAATACTAGATTAATTAGTTATTTTAATTTTAATTTATAATTATATTTATTATACGATAATTATTTTTACTAATATCATTTAAAAAAATTTATTTATTTTTAAAAATTTTTAATTAGACTAATTAATTATTTTAATCTTAATTTAAAATTATTTTTGTCATACAATAATATTTTAATTAATATATTTTTAATTATTTACTAATTATATCCGTCATAAATTCTCGCGTCTACAATAAAAGAGACATTATAGCCGAGACGAAGGGAATATATTTTATATTGATATAGAAAATAATATAAATATAGCATCACTAACTAATTCAATTGAGTTGCTTGCGAGTCGAGCTATAGAATAACTCGGCTCGTTATCTTTATAAATAAGTCAAGTCAAGCTCTTAGCGACCCAAGTCGAGTTTGACTTGCAAGCTACTCGGTTTATTTAACAGTTCTACTCTATTGTAAATCTTGTTAATGCTACACATTTATTTTATCTTCGAATTCACCTTAAATTACGAAGACGTTTTGTAGAGTAACGTATTTGCGCACGATTTTTGTATATAGGGAAGAGAAACATGAAGTAGTTACTAATTCAAATGCTTGGAATCTACGAGAGTAGCCGGACCGGGACAAAGTTTGCGCTATACTTGCCACGGGATCTATCATCGTGGAAAAGAATTGACATTTTTTGACTACTAACAATGTATCGACTTCGACCGGTGAAGTTGGAGGATACGGTCGAGTTGGATTCCTAGCGTTTCCTTTGAGATATTTACGACGATACGGGTAAGCCAACTGAGCGAATTCTCCCGTCTCTCCAAGAGTTGCTATTCCATGCTCGGCGCGATGAGAAGGGCTAAATGGTAAAAGTTTTTGGGTGAAAAATCATCGATGTTGTTAGCGATTTTGTCTCGAGTTGGAGTTTTTTGTATCGTTTTATTCGATTGTATACTTAATTTTTGATGAGTTATGTGATGTTTTAAATGAAAGTTTTTATTATACCTTTAGTATTGGGTGAAGTTGTTTTTAGAGTTAGATTAAAAAGTAAATATTAAAAATAATTCACCACAAAGATGATGGAAATGATTGTCTCACTTAAAAGTTTAGATGATTAAGATCCGTATCCAGAGTCAACCAATAATTATACAAATATCATTACTTTTTACACTAAGATATTCACAGAAGTAGAAAATTCTTTTACTTATATATTTTACCAACTAATAGTATAATATCAAATTTTTGCTCAACAGTCCTAGGGGTGGGCAAAAAAATCGAATCGAACCGTCGAACTGCTGAACAGAACAGAACCGAACCGAACCGAATTTTCGGTTAACTGAGTAAATTCGGTTTGAATTCAAATACTGCATATTTGATATTTGTTCAGTTCGGTTCGCTTTCGATTTTTGATATTTTTTGGGTTCGGGTAGCCGAACCGAATATATTTGTATATTTATATTATTATATTCTAAAATTTATATTAACAATTATATTCGGTTCGGGTTCGGTTCAGTTTTGGTTCAGATATTTGAAATATTTGCTAATATTTTGATTTAATTAGAATTTAAATTATTTTTTAATTTCGGTTCAATTCGAATTATTTGCAAATATTGCAAATATTTTCGGTTAACCAAAATTTTTGATTGGGATACGGTTCACGATTTTGGGTATTTGTTCGGTTCAGTTCGGATATCAAATACCTGCATATTTGCAAATATCCGAACTGTCTCCACCCTACTCAACACAAGTAAAACTATTGTGAGAGTATTTTTTTTTTAGGAAAATAAAGATTAAATATTAGTATTTTTTTTTATTCGTTTTCCGTTATTTAAATATTAATAATATGTAATTTTTATTATTTTTTGTAAAAAAAAATTATTTTTGTTACAAAATATTTTATCAGATTATTACTTTAATAAACTAAAAAGCAAAATAAAAAAGAACAAATATAACGTAATATTTATTTAAACAAATTAAAATTTTAAATTATACTCAAAGTGATTATTTGATTTGATTAATAAATAAATAAATTAATTAAAAACTTACGTAAATGTGTTTTATAAATTAAAAGATTTTGAGTGATTCTAAATGGATAAAATCTAAAACAAGGTTTTAAAAAAAAATTCCATATCAATAAATTTGTTTGAATATTTCTATACGATTTTTAATAAAAATACACTATTTATTTTTATAAAATAGCATATAAAATTATTATTTAAATTTAAAAAAAAAAGACAAATATCAAACTCAAATTCAAATTCAACACAAAATCAAACAAATTCAATGATCATGAAATAGTATAAATATAATACTAACAAAATAAACATTATGATGTACTATATATGCTTTATTTGTTTTGTGTTATATGTGTATATATTATTTTAATATATAATTATTTATATAAAAATAATTATTCAATCATAACATTTTATATATAAAAAAAAGCATTAAAACATTTTCACAGGAAAATTAATATATAAGATATTGAAGATAAAAAACATAAATAATCATATTTTATTTTATTCTACGATTGTTGAGTCATAATTTCGAAATTTAAGGCTTGGCCAAATTTGAAGGGCCCATTAAGAATTAGATCCGATGAAGGATCGTTGACGGTGGACCGAAGTCAAGGTGACCGACGAAGATCAAATAGTGGCGATTAGAGCCGAATGCTTTTATTCCAAAAGTGGCCGATTCCAAGAGAATTCAGATCCGAAGTGATCAAATATCAACGATTTTTTGAATCGTGCCATCCGTTGCAACTACCTACTCGAAATCATGGACCATGGAACAAAAAATTCCCACAAATTGGCGCACGGTTGCCCCGACTAAATAATGGGAATTGAGAGGCAGTTTTCAAAAAATATATATATATATATTCTTTCGTCCACGTAGAAAATAAATATTTAGTTTTGCTTTTTGGTATAAAAGTAACGATGTGATATATTAAGAGTATTTATGGAAAAAAGTGAGATATTTGTGAAATGTTTACTCTGTAAATGGACGTCCCAAAATAAAAATATATATAATTTCTAACTGGACGAAGGAAGTATGAATTAACAAGCACATCTTCGATTCTTACCAAGATTTCAATGGAAATATATATAATTCATCTTTTTCGCACATCTTCTAATGTTTTAGATTTTTATATTGATTTTTTATTTTTTCATTTATTTTTATTTATGCGAAGACACAATCACTTCATAAATCAAATAAGGGGGTGTGTTCTGAGTAATTTTTGGAAGACATTTAAATACTGGCGACAGATTGGTTACTGTGCTTACCAATAAGGTTGTATGATTATTGTTTTGGTATTTTTTAACCTGAAAAAATAATTGCATCGAAATTTTTTAACCTGAAAAAATAATTACTAATAGAATGACATTTCTACAAAATATAAAGATATTTTTAATACTAATACAAAAAGTAAATGTGACTTTTAGAAGCGGACAGAGGGAGAATATTTTTATTTTGAAAGATAAAAATGATAAAACATAATTATTTTTCATAAAATTTTATATTAAATATATCAATTTTTATTATTATTTTGTTTCATATTCCAACAATATGTATCTAAATTGAAGGTAACATATTATAAAGAATCCAATTGGAACTCAAATATTTGTCACAATAATAATGTATTTATAATTTATTTAGATTAATTGAAAATGATTAGTGAGTTGGTACATCTATAATAAATTAGTGGGACATCAAAATAATGTTTTGTTATTGAGTCTTATCCATTAACATTTATTTTTATTAATTAGTCAATTAAAAGATTTGATGGATGGGGTTAGGTTCCAATTTTTTGGTATTACTTTCTCAATACTTTTTCCATTGTCTTCGCCAATTTCTTTTTCTTTTTCTTTTTTTAAATATTTTTTTTTTTTATATTTTGAAAAAATTAAATTAAATTAACTCAGGTTATAAATTATACTCTATCTCTTTTTCATATCAATAGATTTATTTTGTTATTTTGAATAGTTAAGATATACTTCGTTCGTCCCATTTAATTCGTCTGCTTTTGTTTAGACACAAATTTTTAGATATTATATTAAATAGTGTATTAGTAAAAATAATTATAGATTAAAATTAAAATAGCTAATTTAAAAAAAAATTATGAATTATAAAATTTAAAATACGATTAAAATGTACTTCGTTCCAAACACCGTGCAACGTTTTATTTTTTATTTTTTGTTTATCTTAAACTCATTGCAACATTTCCAAATTTAGAAATAATTAATATGTACATATATTAATATACACTTCACTTTATCTCGTCACATCACTCAAATAAAAAAATAAATAATTATTTCTCTCTCCAATCAGATCACTTAATATCCAAATTATCTCAAATTATCATACTTAATACTCCTCACTTAAATTTTCGTGCTAAATATAAATGTTGCACGATGTTTTGGACGAAGAGAGTATAATTATATTCCCTCCGTCTCATAACAAAGTATTTATTTTTCCATTTTAGTCTGTCCCATAACAAAGTATCTATTTCATTTTTTAGTAACTATATTATTTACCTGACCTTATAAATATCTTTACAACTTATAATTTATTACACAAATGTCATTATCTTTATATCACACAATACTGATAAGGTTATTTTAGTCATTTTTACTTTATTTCTATTGCATTCAAATATAATACTAATATTTCTGAGTAAAAAACAAACAGATATATAGTTATGGTACGGAGAGGTGAGAATATTTCTAAAGAAATTTTTTTTATCATAATTTCAATAGGGGCAAGTGAATCTATACTTTATTTAATAAAATTATACATTAATTTTTTTATCGTACAATTAAATTAAATATTATTGTCAAAAAACAGTCACACAATCCTCCCAATTTAATCCAAAAATAACGAACTAATAATTTGTCGTATCCGAAGCTACAAAAAGCACACTGCCATTGCCGATCGCCATTTTCTTCTCCCTCGAATTCCAAGCTCTTCCCTGTCCTCTAATGGCGGTCGGCCCGACTTGACGACGTCACCATCAAATCCAACTTACAAACTAACAAAACACACGCCGGAGACAACTGTTCTGTCACCATCACTGCTTCCCCGGTCCGGGCCGGGCCATGGCTGTCTCCCCAACGTCTCTGCTACTTTTTCAGTACTCCACTCTTTCTCTCTCTAAACTCCCCATGTGATTCGTTTTTTTCCTCTTTTTTCTCCTCCTTTTTGCAATGGCGCAATCGATTGAAGTTATCTTCTAGCGTGTAGGATTGCCTTTTACCCAAACGACGCCATTATTGCAATTTGGGGAAATTTTTAGAACCCTAGAAATTTCTGATTGAAGTTTGTGCATTTTGAGTTGGTTGAAATTAGGTTAGGGTTAGAATTTGGAATAGATTAGATTGTTGAGTTTGAGAAAAATGGGGAAAAGAGGGTTTAATTAGGGTTTAGGAATTTGATCGGAGGAGGCGCCGGTTTCAATGGCGCTGCTCAGGCGACTCTTCCACCGGAAACCGCCGGATCGGCTTCTGGAAATTTCCGAGCGCCTCTACGGTATGTATATATTCGTTTTTACAACTTCTTCGAATCTTCCATATTTATGAAATTCGTTTGTTTTTCTAATGTAGAGATTAATATGGTTTTTTTTTTTTTTTTTCGATCTTTATATATTAATTATAATATTAAAATATAAGTATAAATTAAAAAAAATTATAAAATAGTATTTTGTAATACTAATAGAAAGATATTTATAAAAAAAAATAAAAATTATATAAATATAAAAATATATTTAATTTAAGTAAATGACACAAAACAAAACGTAAATGCGACACTTAGAGGCTGATTGAGAAAATATTATTTTTATTTTTTTATGAGCTGGGAATCCATAGCCAATGCTCTTATTGAGTAAATTCTGACGGAACTTACTAACCAGTATATTAAGTCCAGTAAAACAAGTCATATTACTCAGTGTGTTTGTTTGAGAGTTTTAATTTTTTATTGAAATTTGAATAATGATTATTATAGGCTATATGATAGTAATTTTTAGTTTAATATAAAAATTAAATATAAGTATTATGATTTTATATTTTGAAAAAAAATATTTGATGAATAATAAAAATTGATAAAAATTCTTGAAACAAACACATCCCTAGGTGAACTATTCAGGGTAGACGGCATTTACATAATGAATTTGATATTATTATTATATATTTGTTATGACGTAGGAATTTATTAGATACTGTTTGAATGAATTTTAGGTAAATTTCAAATTTAATTTAATAATTTGTAAATTAAATTGGAAAAAACTATGTCACACTAGAATTTCTTTACAAGATTTTAAAATTATTTTATATAATAACATTTCAAATTTTCGATAGTCATAAAAAATTAATTAATTTATTATTTAAATAATTTTATAATAGTATCGAAACAACTTGTAAAGCTATTTCAAGTTTTTTTTGACAATTTTCTGTGGAATTATTATTTGAGTATATGAAATTTGTATCTAATTATAAGTCTTATTTTATTATTAATAATAAGTCATTTTGAAAATTCTGCAAAAATATAATGTGGCGTGAGAGTTGCAATTGTTCATATGTGCAAAATATTGAAATATTTTAAATATTAAATTTATAATTTAAATTAGACTTGATTTCATTATTAATAATAAACCATTTTGAAAAAATTCTTCAAAATGTAACTAAAACATTTTTGTGTAGTATTCGATTGCTGCTTCTCCGCCGCCGCGCACGGCGGCGATGAGTACAGAGCTTACCTGTCGGCGGCGGTGGCGCAGCTGCAGGACCACTACCCTGATGCCGCCTTCATGGTCTTCAATTTCAAGGAAGGTGAACGCCGGAGCCAATTTTCCGACGTGCTGTCGCAGTACGATATGACCGTTATGGATTACCCTCGCGGCTACGAAGGCTGTCCGCTCCTGCCGCTCGAGATGATCCGCCATTTTTTCCGGTCGACCGAGAGCTGGCTGTCGGTGGACGGCCAAAACAACGTCGTTTTGATGCACTGCGAGCGCGGCGGCTGGCCGCTGCTGGCGTTCATGCTCGCCGGACTTCTTCTCTACCGGAAACAGTTTTGCAGCGAGCAGAGGACTCTGGAAATGGTTTACAATAAAGCTCCGGTGAAGGAGCTTCTCCATCTTTTATCGCCGGTGAATCACCGGCCGTCGCAGCTCCGGTACTTATCGTACATTACGAAGTCGAATTTGAATTTCGGTTCGGATTTGGCGCCGATGTTGCTCGATTGCGTTGTACTTCGATCGCTTCCGTCGAGCGACTTCGATGGCGCCGTGCTCCGTGTCTACGGCCACGATTTGTTGTCGAAAACGTCGATTTCGAGCTCGAAGACTCTGTTTTTGAGCAATGTGACGAAGTGCGATCGTTCGTCGGAGAAGATCGACATTCGACGTTATGTTCAAGGCGATATCATTCTCGAGCTGGTTCGTTCCGGCGACGATTTTCCGCCGGAGGAAGTAGTTTTTAGAGTTATGTTCCACACGGCATTCGTCCCGGGGAACGTTTTGCGGCTAACGCGCGACGAAGTCGACGTTCTTCGCGACGCGAAAGAAAGATTCTCAACGGATTTCCGAGTCGAGGTGAGGTTTTCGGATTCGGGTCAATCTGTCGAGGACGGAAGGGCGTCGCCGGAGGAGTTCTTTGAGGTGGAGGAGATTTTTAGTGTCGCGGGCGACGGGCACGGCGGAAACGAGGATATCGATAGCCATTCGATTCAATCCGGAATCGTAAAACTTGACCGGAAAACTTTGCGCGACGGCGATAATCCTTTGTATTTGGCGTTCCCGGTAGAGTCGAAACCGGCGAATAAAGAATCGAACGAAAATTCGACGCTTTCGTACGATCCTCCGTCGAGATATAATGCTGCTCCGGTGGCGTTCGATCCCGACAAAGATGGATCGACAGGTGGAAAATCAAACCCGCCGCCACCGCCACCACCACTGCCGCCACCGCCGCCACCATCTTCGAGCGTGCATAACATTGTTAGAGTTATGCCGCCATTTCCTCCGCCACCACCGCCACTTTCGAATAGAGCACCATCACCACCTCCGCCACCAATTTGCGGAGCTCCACCTCCGCCGCCGCCTCCTTTCACCTGTGCACCTGGCCCTCCGGCAACTCCCGGACCTCCTGCACCTCCTCCTTTCAGCTCCAAGGCATCTCCGGCGTTAACTTCCGGCAGAGGGCGAGGATTTTCGTGGCTCGGGATATCCGCGAGTGCGCCTCGACGATCGATGCTACGGCCGCTTCACTGGAGCAAGTTCGCGCGTGTATCGCAGGGGAGCTTGTGGGAAGAACTGCAGAAACATGGAGAACCTCAAGGGTATATACTTTATTCCGATCAAAATTCGAACTTGATATTAGTTTCAGATTTTGCTCGATCGATTATCTTTGCAGGTCGCCGGAATTCGATGTGTCGGAGCTGGAGGCGCTGTTCTCGGCGGCAGTCCCGAAGCTCGAAAATTCTGGTGCGAAATCAGCAGCGCGACGGAAGTCTGCTGGATCGAAGCCCGACAGAGTTCATCTGGTATCGTTTCGATTCATAAAGAAATCGTAAACTTATGCACGCATTATGTTTTGAAAATCGACATGGTTTGTATTGTAGATCGATCTGCGGAGAGCGAACAACACGGAAATCATGCTAACGAAAGTGAAAATGCCGCTTCCGGATATAATGGTTCGTATAATCTTGTCGATTTACATTTTTCGCAACGTAAAATTTTCATCGAAGGAAGTAAGAATGCGGAGCTTGAAGCTTAATTGTTTGTTTTTGATCGACAGGCTGCGGCGCTTGCTTTGGATGAATCGATTCTCGACTCGGATCAGGTCGAAAATCTCATCAAATTCTGTCCAACTAAGGAAGAAATGGAACTTCTCAAAGTAAATTCTTCGTATGTTCTTTGGGAAAATTGCAAAAATATCTCACACGTATACCCCATTATCATTTTTTTGTTGTATTTATCTCGCTGTCAAAATATATCCTGTATATATTTGCAAAAGTTGCTATTTTTGTCTTTATAAGGTATACATGTGAGATATTTTTTGCAATTTTTTCTATGTTCTTCTCTCGAACAGAATGAACCGTTTCTTTCGTATAAATCGATTATCGACGAAATCTTTTTTAGGGATACACTGGCGACAAGGAAGTTCTCGGAAAGTGCGAACAGGTGCGTCTTTAATCTTGTAATAAAATCTACGATGAAAATGCTCGGCGCAACGTTTATATATGTTAACGATCCTTTCAGTTCTTCCTCGAACTGATGAAAGTCCCTCGAGTCGAATCCAAGCTACGCGTTTTTCTATTCAAGATCCAATTCACTTCTCAGGTCTGCTTGACGTAGTAAAAATCCTTCGAAAAAATTAGAACTACGGCGCGCTAACATTATCATTTGTTTCAGGTTACAGATTTTCGGAAAAGTTTGAACACTGTGAGTTCTTCATGTGAAGAGGTAATAAAGCGAAAATTTATCCGAAAAATGGAAGCTTTTTTGTTCCTATTGTCTCTTGATGGCTTCAACTTTAGCAATGCATCGATCAGATCCGGAAATCCTTTCGACTGAAAGAAATCATGAAGAAAATCTTGTACCTCGGAAACACATTGAATCAAGGAACTGCCCGAGGTACGACTTACTTTACATTTAATCTGTTATCGATGATCGCGTAATTTGTCTAAAATTTAAGTGTTTTACATATCCGGCATGATCCTTAAAATGTGTCGACGAGCAGGTTCTGCTTTAGGCTTCAAATTAGACAGTCTTTTGAAGCTCATAGACACGCGATCGACAAACAATAAAATGACGCTTATGCATTATCTTTGCAAGGTATCGTCTTCGCCCCATTTCAAACTTCGATCATTTTTATTTCGCTCCAAATTAATATTAATCTCGAGCACATCAAAAGTATAGGTGCTTGCTTTAAAGGCGCCGCATCTTCTGGAATTCCATCGCGATCTTGTTAGCTTGGAACTTGCCTCGAAGGTTAATACTACTATGATCGAACTTTTATTTTTTTATTCGTAAGTCCTATAGAAATAATTTCGATTTCGATATATATATATGGAGAAAATTGCAAAAAGTATCCCACATATATACCATATGATCACTTTTGTCTTTTATTTATCTCGCTGGCACAATATATTTTACATGTTTGCAAAAGTCGCTATTTTTATCCTTCGGACGCGCGTGGTGTTAATGTCATGCGCGGCTAAAGGATATAAATAACAACTTTTGCAAACATATAGGATATATCTTGCCAGTGAGATAAATATAAGACAAAAGTGATAATAGAGTATACATGTGAGATAGTTTTTGCAATTTTCCATATATATGTATATGTATTTGTATAGATACAATTAAAATCGTTGGCGGAAGAAATGCAAGCGATAATCAAAGGTGTCGAAAAGGTGAAGCAAGAACTCATAGCGTCGGAGGGCGATGGTCCTATATCCGATGCTTTTCGCAAGGTATTCCTTACATACGATTTTCTCTTACACTTTGCTCGAAAAGTTTCGATCTTTATGTCATTAGAAAATACGATGATTTATAATTTCGAATCTCGACTTCATTTTTATTTTTTTTTAATTTATAGACATTGAAGAACTTCCTTCGCGTTGCTGAGAACGAAGTGTCGTCCGTAACAACTCTATATTCACTAGCGGTAAATAACTGCCCGCTCGACGAGCTAGCTTGTGAGTAGTGTTTGGATTATGTTGGAGGAAAAATATACGGAAAAAATTTGAAACGATACTTTTCTTCTTCGCGTTCGTATTCCTATGGTCGCCGTTTGTTTAAAAATAGGAATTCAAACTTGTAAGAATTCACAACTGTTTCTCTAATAGCTTAAACTTTTAGATGAACAGTGGCTCGATATATTAGCCTATTGTAGTAATAATGTAGTTCATTGTTGTTGTTTTTCCGCAGGGGAGAAATGCCGATGCATTGGTTCTATACTTCGGCGAAGATCCCGCCCGGTTCCCATTCGAGCAAGGTATTATTCGTTCTACTCGGCCTTTTGTTTGTTTTTTTTAATGATGTGATAGGTCGAGTTTAGTCGAGCTTTTCATGTTAAGAAAGGTCATTCGTTTTTAAGCTTTATATGTAGGAGAAACCTATGGTTCCCCGTTTAGACACAGGCTTCTCGAGTTCTAAAAAAATTTTAGAAGAATAAAAAATTAGTATTTGATATAAAAAAATATTATAGATGAACATTTTAAAAAATTTAAAAATTCTTTGTATTAGAAGAATAAAAAATTAGTATTTGTACATTTTTTACTATAAAAAAAAAAAAACAACTAGATTTACTTACTTTCTTTAAAATCTGTATCTAATGCCATGAGCATAATTTTCGATGACGGAGGAAGTACAAGATTGTCATTTTTGTAATAGTTGGTCGTCATTGTATACAAAAAAAAATATATATTTTATGCAGACTCATGCTAACACAAGGGATTTCATGTATTGAAGAAAATATTGTTAACACAACAGAATTTTATGCCTCAAATAAGACTTTTTATCATTTACGATATTTTCCCGATTGATGATCTATTGTCTCGTCGTTGGCGCAGTCACATCGACCCTCTTCAACTTCGTCAAAATGTTCCAAAAAGCCCACGACGAGAACTGCAAGCAAGCCGAACTAGAAAAGAAAAAAGCTCGAAAGGAGGCCGAAATGGAGGGCCCAAAGGGACATCATCGTCATCATCATCATCGAAGAAAGACATGAACAAGAATCGACATATAATTCTCAATCTCCGTCTTATGAAAATCTTCGAAACATTAAGACATGACAACAACCTCGACGGGGGACAACTTGGCGTGGCATCGATGAGGGGGGCTCCGTCGGCCCCCCTCATAATTCGATGGAATTCCACTTTTACAAAGATGAGTCGATAGAGGTACGCGTTTTGGATCTCTATCTTGAACACGATGAAGCCATCTCGCTCTATGTAGAAGGTTTTTTTTTTTGTTGGCGCCATTGGAGTTAGACGACATTCGTCGCTTTCTTCCTCGAGAGGATTCGACTCGGAATCGACGGAATTCGGGCAACATTGTAGAAAAGTCTATCTAAAGATTGACTATGATTCTTTTGTTCTAACATGAAAAATCATCTTCTTTGTAATAACCTTACCTAACTTACCTAAATAGAACAGTGTACATATTTAGGTGTATTGGTAGACTGAGAGAGTGAATGTATATACTTTGATGTATGTATATATGCATATATAAATATATATTATATATTTATTTGACTCAATTAATAAATCTAATAAAATATATGTTATATTATAAATATATATATTGCGTATAATTAGTTTTATATATTTTTTTATATATTGATTGGATCAAATATCTCAGGCAATAGATATTGCCTATTTTTATATTTTTTAAATTTTTGTTGCAATATTTATAAAAAAATTTTTTAATTAAACATCACATTCATAAAAATATTAGGTGTAAGGCTCGTCATAAGAAAAATATACTATATTACATGTAATATTTATTTATATTTGTGTTTTCTATTTAATTATTTATTAATTTTCAATTCATTAAAAACTTTAAGGCCCAGTTTGTTTGTAAATTTTTATTCAATTTTTATTATATATATAAATATTATTCCAAAATATTATAGAAATCTTATACAGTGTGATATATTATTAATAAATTCAAATACGTTCTTATGTAATCAAAGTTTATTTGAATGAAAGTATTTATTTGTATTTTGGTATTTTAGATTATTTTTTAATTTTAAAATTAATTTGATAAATGAGTATTGATATGAATAATTTTTAAATATTGCATTACATTAAACTTTTGTTAAAATAATATCCATGGGATGTTATACTGAAAATCTAGCTAAAATTATCCTGTGTTGAAATGCCTTTTGCATTTTGGTTTGAATGAGTTCTTTTATTATGTAAAATATGAGAAATTGTATATATAATATAAAAATAATGATTACGTGTAGTATAATCAAAATTTTCTTAAAATACACACTGTGTTCATTTAAAAAATTTAATGAATCAATGTTAAATTTAAATTTAAAAAAATTGTATAAACAAAATATTTAATTTTAAAATAAGCACAAATAATACTAATGCAAAGTCGGAATGAACTAAACTTCATGGGTTACAAAAAGTTAAAATAAAAAAAATAAAAAAAATAATAATAAAAAAAAGAATTTCCAATGATTGATAAAGTATGTAAGAATACAAATTCTAAAATAGTTACATTGAAATTGAAAATAAAAAATAAAAAATAATAAGAGAGATAGAAACCTTGTTTATAACATCAACTCTAAACCCTTTAATTCTAAACACTTTTCATTTCCTTCGTATATTTCAATCAAAAAAGAATATGAAAACGAGCACGAGCACGAACACGAGCACAGATCATCATGACGATTGTTATACTCTTCTTTGCATCGTTTCAAGAACACATAGCCAACGACGGTGTCGAGAACAACGAGCACGGCGTACAAATAAGCGACGAGAATCGCCTCCAAGTTCATCCACGGATCGGGACCGGTTCCATGTTGATATCCTCTCACAACACGGTACTCAAACAAAGCTTCGATCGCAACCAACGCCGTGTTAGTAGCCACCGACAACGACAATGCGGTAGCCATCCATTGACGCGTCAACACAAAAGCCTCGACGATCCCGCCAAACCCGCCGCGCCTCTCCGTCGCAGATATCACTAAAGATATTCCACAAACGACGTGCAAATTTGCGATAACGACAACATAAGCAACGGCCAAACCCAACCCGAGAAACACACGAGCCCCAATTGACGAAAACCCTAAAATCCTAAAAAACTCGAAGGACGCGACGGAGAAGTAAAAAAACACGGCGTGGATCGATACAACGAGCAATGAGTTACATAGGTGAGTGATCAAGAGTGGTTTGAGCTCGACAATCCAAGAAATGGGTGAGTTTTTTCTCGACGGCCGAGAAAATTGGAGGGCTCGTATAACGATGGATTTCGAGACGACGAGAAATGATAGCGCGAAAGGCGAGACGAGGAGGGATGAGAGAATTATTTGAGTGAGTTTATAATCGAGAGCGACAGATAATTGTGATGAATATCGTGAAACACCTGCGGAGAGCGTGAGTGAAGTCACGTGGGCGTGGATTAATGAGAAAAGGCGCGATGATGGGGCGAGGGACGGGGCGAGGAGGGCGGCGAGGGCGAACGGGACGGCAACGAGCGACGGCGACGACGAAAAGAATTGGAAGTTCTTGAGGAGAGTGAAGATGGAAGTTCTTATGATGTTTAGGGTTGTGATAGCCATTGTTGTGATGAGAAGAAGATCAAGAAGAGGGAAAGAAGAAGTGCTTTTAAATGTGATTTTAAGAGGGAAAAAGATTGGCCAACAACTTATGTGTTTTTATTTATTTATTTTATTTTATTTTTTTTCTGTAATTTTTTTTTTTTAATGACATGGAAACTCGCAGCTGCTATCCGAAAGTATATACAAGATCAACTTGGTTGAATATTTTTTTTCTACATTTGGGGATAGGAAATCTTGACTATAGGTTTTTATTATAAAATGAGAACTCGCAGCAGCTATCCGAAAGTGCGCAACGAACTAACTTTCGGTCTTATAGTTTTTTTCTACATTTGGGGATAGGAAATCTTGACTATAGGAAGTGGTTGAATTCAACCAATCTTTTTTCGTGTTGAGACTACTAATTAATTTATTCTTACAATTATTAGGGGGTTGTCCATATTTTGTTTATATATATTTCAAAATTATTAAAAGTATATTATTTTATAAAAATATTGTTTCAACTCATATAATATTATATTCCTTTAATCTTATTTGAACATATTTTTTTAGTTTTTATAATAAATTAAAAAATAATAATTTTTTATTAGTTAGTAAAAATATTTACAATGATATTGATATGATTTTATTTTATATATAAATTAATTGTACAAATAATAATATATTTATAGTTTATATAAAAAATTAAAAATATTTGTATTTTTAACTTGGGTGTAGAAAGTATTGAATATTAAATTTTTTATTATTTTTTAAAAATTTTAATACTTTCAAAAATTAATTAAACATAGCCTTGTTTAGTAAAAATATGTTTTTTAACATAAAATATTATATTAAACTACTATTTATATATTTAATACAAACCAAAAAACACTCTCTTTAAGTTTTCTTTTTTTTTTTTTATAGTAAAAATTAATGGTTTAAATAACAATATATATGTATTTCTTTTGAGTGTGCATTGAATTTGAAAGGTTTAAATTTTTTATTTAAATAAAATTTTATATAAATATTTTTAAAGATGAAATATATATATATATATTAACAGTCCAAATAATAAAAAATTACATAAAAACTTGAAAGATATACTAATATATTATGACATACAAATACATATTGTTTCTCTCATTGAATTTATTGATATGATTTCAAGTTATCTGACATATTAATTCAACAATTTATGTAACAAATTATAAAAATAAAAAAAATAATAATAAAAAAAAAAAGATTTTGTTTTTTGATTTTCAAGATGGAGTGTCCATTTCAAGTCATTTTCTTCTTTTATATATTATTTTGATTAAGAACTTGGTTTTATCTAATCAATTGTCATTATCCTCTACTAATTAATTAAATGTCTCTATAAAAAAGAATGTAACATTTTTATTTTATTTTATTTTATTTTTTTTAAAAAAAAGTTACTTATTATGGTAATATTACAATATTCAAGTATTTTCTTTTACCTTTGTTGGTAAATACTTATATGACCAAGAAATATAAAATGGGACATGCATAGAGCTGTTAAACGAATCGAATTGTTCGTGAACTCGGCCTGGTTCGACTCGATTCGATTCGGTTAAAGCTCGTTCGCGAATGTTAACGAGTCGAGTCGAACAACATAAACAAGCTTGTTTGATTAACGAACGAGCCCGAGCTTTGTTCGCGAACGTTCGTTTAAATAATATATTTATTATAAATATTATATATACATATAAAATTATAATTTATAAATAAATAAAATATTAATTTAAAATATATAAATAAAATAATTTTAAATTTTTTTTATAATTTATATATCAATTTAAAAAAATAAGACAAATGACCTCGAACGAGCTTAATCGAACCTAAACGAGCCGAACACGAACACGAGCTCAAACAGCAAAAATTCTTAACGAGCCGAGCTTTATTCGCGAACGTTCGTTTAAATAATATATTTATTATAAATATTATATATACATATAAAATTATAATTTATAAATAAATAAAATATTAATTTAAAATATATAAATAAAATAATTTTAAATTTTCTTTATAATTTATATATCAATTTTTAAAAATAAGACAAACGAGCTCGAACGAGCTTAATCGAGCCTAAACGAGCCGAACACGAACACTAGCTCAAACAACAAAAATTCTTAACGAGTCGAGCTCGAACACTACGAACGAGCTCGAAAGCTTAACGAACGAGCCCGAGCCTTGTTCGCGAACGTTAACGAACACTTAAAATTTAGCTCGGCTCGGCTCGGCTCGGATCATTAACACATGCACGAGTGGATGTAAAATAAATTTAAAATTATAATTTTATTATTTTTTAGTTCATTATTAGGAAGTAATATTTTACGTATTTTTCATATTTTAATTTATTTTTATTTTTTTATATGAATTAATTGTTGAATATAATATTTTATATAAAAAAAATAAATATATTTCAAGTGTGTTTAGTTTGTGTTTTTTAATTAGTGTGGTTTGCTTTATTTTATTTTCAATTTTTTTATTATATAATTCTCGAAATTTTCTATAAAAATATACTTATAGTATTTTATAAAATATTATATTTAATTTAATATTTGAAAATAAACAACTAAAAAATAAGACCAAAAAAATCACCATGAAAAGAGTTATGACAATCCAAGACTCTATTTTCATGCATAAATTTAATTTTTTTGACATTATTCATTAAAAAAATGTTTTAAAAATAAATACCACACAAAATATAATTTTTACAATAAATTATCATGTTAAATATCTAATTTTTTATTATTTAAAAAAATTCAAAATTATAAAACTTAAAAAACCTCTTTTACGAATATAGTCTAAATTTGTATATGGGACCAAAATTGTAGCAAAAAATTATTTAAAAAATCATTATAATTATTTCACGTGAGATGAGTTTCATATTCTGTCGGTTGATTATTAATATATTTCAATTAAATATTTTTCTTTTTCTTTTATTATTATTATTATTATTATTATTATTATTATTATTTGTGTAATACTATAAAAAGTCAGTCTACAGCTGCAATGATGTTTATGAATTGATATTTCTTTTATTTGATAAATATTATATATATGAGCTGTCACACATTTTAAAAATATATATAAATTATTTTAATAATGTCAGAAATTATTTTAAGGGCAAAGAATGAAGATAACATATACTCCCTCCCTTTCAGATACCATATCCACGTTGTCGTTTCTGTTCGTCCCACATACTATGTCACTTTTTAATTTTGAAAAATGATTACACACTTTAATCTCATTTTAAATTTTAAATTTTTAATTTTTTTTAAAATTTTAATTAAACTAATTAGTTATCTTAATCTTAATTTATAATTATTTATATGATAGGATAATTATTTTCACTAATACATTATTAATTATTTACTAATTACACTCCTACTAAAATACCGTGTCTACGGTGTAGCAGACAAATCATTTTTTATATATATAATTTTATTTAAATATAATTAGGTGCTTGCATAAAAGACAAATCATATAATTCATAAGTTATATGCATAAATAATTTTTTTTTTAAATAAACACTATTATTATTATTATTATTATTATTGGCAAATGATTTCACATATGTTACTTACCTAATCAATTAATGAAATTAAAATGTATAAATATTATCTTATCTATTACTTAAAAAAATAACTAAAAACTGAAAAATTATTTTTTCATTCTTGTATGTTATTATTTACCTAATTATTTATAGAGTTTGTTTGAGGTGTGTTTGGTTTTATTTTGAATTTGGAGTTTTGATTTAAGTTTTGTCTTACGTAATATTTTGAGATGATATTTATAAGAGAAAATAATACTATGTTTTTGTTAAAAATTATATAATCTAAATAATATTGATTTGAATTTAAAATGTAAACCAAATACATCTTTGATTTTTTATTTTATTTTATTTTTTAAATTTGAGTTTCTTATATTTGAATTGTTTAAATAGTATTATAATTTAATGGTTTATTGAAGAAAAAAAAAACAATATTTTATTTTATTAAAAATTATACCGATTGAATACTAAATAATTTTAGTTAAACTAAAACCAAACATGCAACAATTATTTTATTAAAAAAATTTAAATCCAAATATATATTACTTGCTCTTCGACTAAATTTATTTTCACATTTTTCTTAGTCCCTACTTTAAATTTACTATATTACTAATTTCGAAAAAATCAATAAATAACATTTAACTGTTATATTATATTCAATATTTATTTATAATAAATATTATTATTTTATTATTTTATTTTCTTCATTTTTTAATTAAATTTTCAAAAGACCTTAACTTTTATTATTATTATGATGAAAATCATTTCAAATGATTTTGATTAATGAATTATATAAATAATTAAATGTTGAGTAAGTGAGAAGTCATCTTTGAAGTTTGGTATCTAATTGGACATTTTACCACATTAGTTGGCATTTATTGAGATTTTAACCAATTTTACCTCTACAAAAATATACATTTATTTTTTTGTCACAAAATTTAATAAATATTATAATTTAAAGGTAATTGGTATATTTTTAGTACATAAAATATTATTGTCCATATTTGTAATGTATAATGAAGTTTATATTTAGTGTGTCTGTTTGGGGCTTTGGATTTTGAGTTGGGATTTTAATAGTAAAAAAATTTTGAATTTAAATAGTTGTATGATGTGATATAAATAGGTGTTGATGTGATGTTTTGAATGTAAATTTGATTTTTAGTATAATATAAAAAAATAAGTATTTGATTTGATTTTTTGGGGAAAAAAATGAGATAAATAGTGAAAATTAAATCCAATCTCCCAAACAAACACACCCTAAAAAGAAAAGTAAATTTTTTTTGCATTAAGACAATAAAAAATGACAAAATTAATATATTTTTCGAGAAGAAGATAGTACGATAATAATATTTTTTATTTATATTTAATAATTTATTTTTATTTAAAATGCTTTCTCCATTCGTAATTAAGCTATTTATTTTGTCATTTTCATTCATGTGAAATCAATATA